CAGTTGTTGATTGACTGCTTTTCAGGTTGTTCTTGGAACCGACGAAAGGCTCACGCATGACTGTACCTACATTAAAAGAATTAATGAAATATCTTTAAGACTTCCGCTAAACTCTCTTTAATAATTAACATGTAATATAACTTATGTTTTGAATAAGTAAAAAATGAAAATTTTGCAATAAAACTCGAGACATTATATTATCAAATGATTGCTTTGAACTTTATTGCTACAATTATTAAACCAAAAGCAATTTCGAAATAAAAAAACAGGGATTATATATGTTGGGTTTAGTTCAAAAATAGTTTCCAAAAACTCAAAATATTAGCAACGAAAGTCTTAAAAATTCGAACTTAATGGCAAATCACAACCCACTAAGGATCTACTTACAAGAAATGGAAATATAAAAACACAACCATAGAAGGAAGAAGTAACAACCACCTTTGAAGAACTTTGGGTCCTCTAAGGGAGAAGTTGATGGATATGGATGGACCTTGAGACACTAACAATTGATCAACTTCATGTAATACTAGATACAACTCTTAAGATTTAATTCAAAACAAAAATATGACTTAAAGAGAGAATGCAAGTAACTCTTCAGCACTTCAACACTTTAGCACTTTGCATGAAGATAAGAGAGTGAGAGAGACGAGCTAATTTTCGGCAATTGCAAGGCTTGAATGAATCACAATTAAAGCCTTAAGACTAGTAGTAAAGTAGAAACATTACCATAAGGTCTTTAGCCATTTAGCTATTTAGACAAGCGTGTCCCCCATGCTTGCACCATACCTATTTCTTTTTATTAAACAAATCAAAAGCCCTCACCCCTTATACTCTTAGGCACTCTCGGCATAAAGATGAAAAAAAGAAAGATGATAGTTTAAATTTTGTAAACTCTAAGTTTATAAGATATAAACTCTATAGGTAAAAGACAAAAATGATTCAATTAGTCCAAAAGGTTGTGCATTACATATTAATTCATACCATATGAAAATTTGTGTTACTTGTAATTGTAAAATAATTATTTCCATGAAATAAATATTTTCCTAATTTATTATAAGAGTTTATAAATATTTATTAAAATCAATTTTTAATAAATAATTATTTATATCAAGTTGTTGTTAGTGTGACCCTTAATATCATATGTTAATTAGCAATATCATTCTAATAGGATTCTTGAACATATAAGATCTTTCAATATATACTATTTTGTTTTTTGAGAGTCCATTCGTGTAATATGTTTTTGCTATGGACTATTTGTATAATACTTTTAAATAGCGACTATTTATGTAATATTATTTTTATACAGGGACAAATTTATACACATTATTATTTATTTTATTCCATCAATTATCAACATATCAAAAAATACCAATGTATTTTTGTTTAATTTTCAAACTCATAGAAAAGTCTACTTACTATATATCTATTTTCAACCTATTTTTAGTTATTGTCCCATTTGTTAAACATATATTATGCATGTGTGTATGTTACTATGTGTAAGTGTGTGTTCATTTTTTTACACATAACATTTATATAATTTACTACATTAAGGAAATTTTTTTTTTTAAATAGATAACAAGGAACAAGTTAAGTATATTGAGATTTTTTTAATTAAGGAGGTGTTTGGATTAGTTTATTAGTTTATTGCTTATTAGTTTATTTGTGGGGGGAATAAGCAATAAGCAATAAGTAAATGAGAGATGTTTATTAAAATTAGTTTATTTTGCTTATTCCTAATACAATAAGCTAATTTTTAAGGATTTTATCCAAACATTTAAACTTGGCTTATTATGATCGGAATAAGCAATAAGCAATAAACACTCTCTTTTTTCCTATCCAAACACCCCTAAGTATAATGACTAATATATAACTTAAAGAACGATTTAGATGAAAAAAAAAATCAATAATCTAATTATGCTTGGTATAAACGGGTATAGATTGTTATGGTTTCAACATACCACTAAAAATGCTCTCTAATCCTGATTCTATCCAAATAATCCAAATTTAGACTAATTTTAATTGCCTAAATTTATAAATAAAAAAAATTATCAAGGCATAGTGTAATCCTACATTTTATGGATCTTCATCAGATTGGTATATGAAATCAAAAAAAAAAATCTCTATACTTAATCTTGATAATTCAACCATTAATTTAGCATACCATATAAACTAAAGAAAAAAAAATTATATAAATCTCATTTTTTTTCATCATTGTAATTTTTTATATTTGTTATAAATAATAGATTACCATATATTTTAAAGTTTAAAAGTCTTATCTTTTGAATTTTTACCTTCACATTCTATCTTTTGAATCCGATCGTAGCCTCCAGTTGTAGGAAACTCGATATTCTCAATCTTGTATTTTTATTTCCTAACTACGTCTTTTGGTGTGGGTATCATATTGAAGTTTATAACATCCTGCATTTTAAACATGTAAGTTTTTTTGTTTTATTTATTTATTTATTTATTTATTTATTTATTTATGTTATAATAAGCAAGCATAAATATATAGACATTTGGTTGTTGTTTGTCACCATCTAATATGAGGACATATAAAATTAGTACTATAGATTAGTTCTCTACTGATAAGTTCACTGCAGTTGCAGTGACCTTAGTTTGAATAGTTGTGTACCTTGAATACAATCACTCACGAAAGGCTAAGAGCAACCACAAAGTACATAGAGAAACTCTAACTTCTTCATAGGTCCTACTAACTTTCCATAGCCAAACCGTATTATTCTTGCTCGAAAATGTTAGGACTATGGACATTTGTTGGGAAATGTTTCTTGTCGGAGGTGGATGAGTTAGGTTCGAGGGTTTCATCTACGCCGATCTCCAGTGATGTTGAAGTGGAATGAGTAGATGAATAGCAAGACAAAAGTGTCAGTAATCAATAACAAGAGGGATGCGATCGAGGATCGATTCTTCTAAACTCAAGTAGTAAAATTGATGATGATGACTCTTAAATCGATGATTCACCTATATCAGAGTAGTGTATAGTTTGGGTGTGGGGTTTAGTGGCGACCCATTTGGAAAAGTCTTTTATGAGACACGAAGCAAAATAATAATAAAAATTAGATATATACTCAGAATTTAAAATGTATTTTTATTTGTTATTACTTTAAAGTTTTTAGTTATTAATAGGAATAATATTTTTATATATTTAAAATAAATAATGATTTTAAGATTTTATACTAATAAAAACAATCTATAAAAAAAACAAAAAAACTATATATAGTTATATTTATTGGATAGATTCATGGGATTTTTAACAATATATACATAAATGTATATATAGCTATCGTTTTTAAAATATAGGCAAGGAAAAAATTATTTAATGTTTATTTTGACGTATAAAAATAATAGTGGCTCTGATTATTATATCTATTTATTGTTATTCATCATGTGTTATATTTCGTTATGAACATTTACAACAATCTTTAAAATTATATATGGATTATTTTTTAACATATGGATTCATTATTAAATTTTAATTAAGAAAATTTTATTTGGATAATAGAAAAAAGAAAAATATATCTATCGCATTAAAAGGTTAAAGTTAATAACACGGATTTTTTTATGCGAGTAAGAACGGTAATTATTTCGCCTATTTTCTTTAGCCTTATCAAATTTTGTATTAAATATTTCAAGTAGGTTTAAATTTCTTTATCAGTGAGATTTTTTTTATATTAACTGAATTTATAATTATATGTAGCTGATGTTTTCAATCATCATTAACATTTGAACTCTTCAAATAAATTCATATATATCTTTCTCAAAAATAAAACATCAATTCTAAATTTTTCATGTATCATTTTTAATTTACTTTAATTATTGTAGTTGTTTTACTTTTATACTCAATTTAACATTCCATTATAGAATATCATTATTTTTTTATTAATTCACAAATAAAAATTGTCTTACATATTTATTAGATTTAACGATTATAATTTTATATTAATAAATAAATAAATCTTTTAATTAATACTTATTAAAAATAATTTATTAACAATTATGATTTTTTAGTATAAAATTTTAATTATTTTTATAACAATGGTTCCCATACACTATAACCTAATATATTAATTTTTTTGAACGACGGGGTTAGTATTTGTCTGGGATTGAACCCAGGACCTCCTTGTTATAAACTCTTAGTTACACTTTTTTAGCTAAGTGGACTAACCCCAACTTGTATATATTAATAAATAGACCTAACAATTTGTGTCGTGTTCGGGTTGGCGAGTCAAAATACACCAACCCGAACACAGCTCATTTAACTATATAGGTCACCGTTTGACGGGTCTGGAATATAAACGTATATATGACCCGTCAACACATTTATTTATACGGGTTTATAGGTTGGTGGGTCTGTGGGTCATATTTGGGTTTTTGGGTTTGTAGGTTAAATTCCATAAAAAAAAAATTGATAATTACACATGAATACATTCTTGATGCAAACATATCCAAATTTTAAAACTTAAGTTTTAAACATCCAAATGAAAATTAAAAATTCATAGAAACAATGTTCAAACTAAAATATTAATACAAACAACAAACGACAATCGTGTTGCGCATATCAAATGGTCAATGACATCCTATCCTAGTGTATAAACTTTATAATATTTAAGTCTTAATACATTTTATTAAAACTATAAACGGGTTGGCAGGTCAACTCGTATAATTTTTGAGAAACTCATATATGACTTGTTTAATAAACGGGTCGACGGGTTTGCGGGTTTACGGGTTGGCAAGTTGTACAACTCAACTCAAACCCGTTTATTCTGTGTCGTGTCACGGGTCGTGTCGAGAATTATTTGGCATATTAATAAACGATTCCTATTTCAAAAGTCTCTCTCTGTGTATGTGTGTGTGTGTGTGTGGGTGTGAAAGCCTTAGTTGTTAAAAACAATTAAAATGTCGTGGGAAGTAGTAAAGTTCAGGTCGAGCATGCTTTGAAGGGAAATGACTTTCAATGGAATAGCCTTCTTCACTACGAATTCATGCTACACACTTCTCATGAAGATGACCATAATGCCCCTAGCCTTCTGTCTCCGTTTCTCCAACCTTGCACCACTAGTCAGGACTTCCATGGTAATATACTAATATAACTCTCTCTATGAATTATTCTACCCCAAAATTCTTGAACTTCTTTTTTAATGAATTGGATTGTATAGTTTATTAATGATGCACAACGGTATGAATGTTCTGATGGCACCAATTATGGGTTATTTGCGAAGTTTAAATCTTTATATCTGAAGATGACCATGGTAAATAGAGTATGATTTGTACTGTATAACTCATTGGTGCACTAGGGTGTGATTTCTTTAGATTGAAAAAGTTTAATTCGGTACATCTGATCACTAACATCACTCAAAAATTTCATACATGGTCACAATCTAAACTTTTCTTATGGAAGAGCTGCAATGTTATGATAGCTACCATAAAAAAAATGCAGAAAGAACCTTGATATTGATGCATTGATAAGTTGTATTGTACAATCCTCCAGCAAAACTTGATTTATAGAAATGTTTCAATCTTTGCATTCGATCTCAAGTTTTCTACTTCAAAAGCACTACGGAAACACCCAAATGGGGTTTTCGACTTTCCGTAAAGTTCGAATTAAACTTTTCGACTTTCACCATCTTGATCAGTGCAGGAGTGTCTACAGAACCCTATGCACAATGGAGTTGTAAGGTACAACTCAAGCATGAAGTAGGGCACAAATGTTTGCGATCATGGTACCATCCAATGGGTTTTCCACAAAGTTCAACTTTTTATATTTTCCATCTTGATTAGTGCAAGTGATTGAGCCCATTGCATTGACAAGCTGTACAGTACAACTCAATGATGCAGTAGGTCACAAATGTTTCTGATTCCTTCCAAATTGTTTTTCTATATATAATCATGTTGAACTTTACATTTTCGATCTTCATTGTTGCAAGTATGGCTCAAACTGATTGCATCCATAAATTGTAGGGTACAACTCAAAGATACATTAGATCGTTAGTGTTTTATATATAACCATGCATCTTGATACATATACGCAGGACTAGCCTCGTTCTTTGGGAAAAGATCAATGTCGTATGCCACAGAACTATGTGATCAAGAAACCAAGAACGGAGAAGAAGAATTATCAGACGATGTATTACTTGGAGGTGAGAAAAAGAGAAGATTAAAAATGGAACAAGTGAAGACACTTGAAAGAAACTTTGAGTTGGGAAAGAAGCTTGATCCAGAGAGGAAAATGCAGCTGCAAGGGAACTTGGGCTTCAACCAAGACAGATCGCAATTCGGTTTCGGAACAGAAGGGCAAGATGGAAGACAAAGCAATTGGAAAAAGACTATGATGTTCTCAAGAATCAGTTTGAAGCCATCAAGACTCAAAATGATTCACTTTTGTCTCAAAATTACAAGCTTCATGCTGAGGTAACGACTCTAAATCTCGGCTCAATTTGTTAGTCACTTGTAGTATTTTCTTTATTTTTTAAAACCTTGTACATCAGTTGTGTTTGTTGAGTAGATAGAACCTATTCAACAAAAAAATTAATAATCTCAAATGACATTTTTTTGTGTCTTTAATTGGCCTCTTTATTAGTCGTGTCAACTAAATTGATACCTTTTCGATAGAAATCCTTAAAGAATGTCAATTAATTTGTCCATCTTTTTTCCATTTTAAACTTTTGGAGGCATGATGATATATAGGAGCATTTTGCATGTTGGGTGAAGAAGCAATTTAACTAAAGTGTTGGGATATCTTGTATTGCAACACCCTTTTCAAAGACTAAAGCATGTTTTTTGAAAAGAAACATCTGGTTCCAAAATCCAAATTTCTTTTTCAGGGAGTTAACTTGAAAATGATCTAAATTTACAGGTATTGGCACTTAAGAACAAGAATTCAACAGAATTAATCAACCTCAACGTCAAAGAAAAAGAAGGATCTTGCAGCAACAGAAGTGAAAACAGCTCTGAGATCAAACTAGACATCTTAAGAACACCAGCGACTGATAGCCCATCATTTCACACCACCACCACCATCATAATTCAATCCCTAATCTCTTTCCATCCTCCATTGTAGATAGATCTCATCAGTTACTCCACAACTCATCATCAAGATCTGCATATCGCCATCACCATCATTATCATCTCCATGGACAAAAAATCGTCCAATTGGTTGCCAATAAACCAGAAGGCCTGTGCAATATGTTTTTCGATGTGGAAGATCAATCGGGGTTTTGGCCATGGTTAGAACAACAACCATAGTTCGTCTGAATTGAAAACAAAAAGGTGTCCGGTTGATTTGGAGTATTGGTTGGGTTTATTTGAGGTATAAATTATTGTTTCGGGTACTTCAAATGTACAAATTCGATTGGTGGAAGAAATTTTTGTTTATGATTTTATTAAATTCACTATTAGATTTTTAGAATCCGTATCCAGATAATTAGAAAGTCTGGTGGTATTTGCACGTTTTTAGTGAAATTTTCAATGATCATCTTATGTGTTTGAGTCAAGGTTGTTAAGATCGAGATCCTATGTATAATCGTTTTTGGATTTGCAAGATCGAGATCTTAAGATCCCACAAAATAAATATCACTTTAATTTATAATTTTTAATCATGAAAAATATTTCAAACATTCAACTTTTTGTTCAAAAGTTATAAAAACTTCAAAATATTCGTCATAAGTCACAAATATAAAATGATAAACGGTAAATTGATAAAGGGTAAAAGAGATAAAGTGGTAAAATTGTATACCAAAAATGGTTTTGATATACTTAATTTGTTATAAACAAAGTTCTGATACCAATCTGTCACACCCCCAAACCAGAACGGCGGAAACGTTCGAGGAGGGTGGAGGATGTTATATTCAGTATCATAACAATTGCATAGTAAGGAAAGTACACACCACCAAATATATAAATATTTAAAAGTGTTTACATAATTGTAGTTGTTACATATTCAAAATATAAATACAATAACATGTTTCAAAAGAAGTCATTAACGCTAGGACGTTAATCCCCAAAAGATGATTTCCAAACCTGCTTAGCCGTTCCCTGAGAATACAAGTTATGTCAAATAAAAAGTGTCAACAATTAAGTTGGTGAGTTCATAAGTGGTTTTGAGAAAATGTATGTCATTCCAAAGTTCGTGCGTTTTTCAAGAAAATCACTTTTTTTCTTATAAAAGTATGAAATGCATATGAATGTTCATGTTGTAAATTGTAAATAGTTGATTGTTTTAGATGCAGGAAAATCCCTTATTTTCCTAACGTAACAGGCAGTCTCTAAGACCGAAAAATCGCAAACAACTGACATGCTGAAAGGTTGAGACATAGTTTTATATAATAAAACTATAAGAAGATCGCACTTGTTAGATGAATAATAGTTTTAATAACTACTCGTTCATAAAATTAGAATACCATAATAATTGTCTATCCGGTGAGTTTTATAACCATACTAAACATAATATGCTTGTGGTGACGGTCTTCAGGCGTCGAAACGTTTATGAAAAACTGTCATCCAAAGGACTGTAGCTAACAGTCAAGGCGCGGGATCATGACTTTTCGTATAGATCTATACAAATTTGACACGCTCTCCCAACGAGAGACTCTGGTTATAATAGAGAGGACTTTAAGTTGTACCTTTTTGCAAAAAGGTAGCGTTGAAGATGTAAATGTCTCATGGATTCTCAACTAAATCTGTATTAAGGTGATAGTTTTGTATACAATGTTTATTCTCTCTTACAATGTTTGACTAAGCATAAATCTTAAGTCATTTGAATGCATAAAATGGTTTAACAAGGATGGCTACCCTGAATTTTATGCATTTTCTATAAACCTAGTGCATGCAAGATATAACAAGAGTTTTCAAGTTTTCACTCGGGATTTCTCTCTCTCTCTCTCTCTCTCTCTCTCTCTCTCTCTTTCTATATATATATATATATATATAATCTCAATATTTTAGCCTAAATTATTGTTATTTAGAACTAAAAGGTATTTATAATGTTTAAATTATGTTTTACAGGTATAATTGTTGCTAGAGCTGAAAAGAAACAAAATTGGACGGAAATTGGAGCTGGATTGCAAAAAAGGGAAAAGGGGGATGTAGAGGCCCATTACGCCCTGTGTAATGGGTGTACTCCCTGCATACTTTGAGGTTGACGACTACGCCCAACGTTGTTAGTGGTACGCCCAACATACTGGACTAGTTGTCTGGATCCAGATCACAGTTATATTCTTAGTACGCCCCACATAATTTAAGTACGCCCAATGTACGTAGGTAGGTTCCAAAGCCTATAAATTGCGACTTTCGAAAAATTTAAGGAAAGAACTCAATTTCCATTAATCCTTAGTCGACAAGTAACCTCTATTCTACCGTTTCGAGGGTCTATAAGGCGGCTGGAAGGCTATTAAGTCGACTGGAGCGAAGATATGAGGGATTAGAGAGCGGATTCATGTCAGAGTTCATGTGGTTTGTTTTCGTGACTATGATTAGCATTCTAATGTGATTCCATTATTCTGATTTAGGTGTTAAAACCTTTTACTTTGTGTTTATTATTGAATTAAACATTCAGTTATGGTTTAATTGTTATTTGGATTGTTTATTCTTATTTAATTTGTTTTGTCAAGTTTGATTGAAAGATCCATATGTGTTAAAGATTGTTACTTTGTTCCCTATTACTGAATTAATAGAATTTAGATGCCCATCTGAATGTGTTAATTTGAATCATAGTTGTCTAGTAACTATTGGTGATTATGACTAGCGTTTTGACCAAAATCTACGGTTAGGAAACAAAGTGGTGAACTTTAATGTGTGTGCATGAGTAGAATGACCATTCTATGTATAATTCAACTCCTATGATCATTAGAGTTATATAAGATCAAATCATGCTTAATACTAATTGAATACTGATTTGCATGATTGTTCAATGAACTAATAGTTATGTTGAAATCAAAGGATTAGTAGCACGACCCTGATTCTATGCGTATTAGGAATCGGTGAATAATGAACTAATATCCATTGTATTAGTAGTTAGCCATTATTTTGAGATATAATTTATCTAAATCAAAGTACCTAAAGAGATTTTTCTTCAGTCAGTTTATTGAGATTTGCAGTTTAATATGATATTTGAGATTTAATTTAATAAAACTCTTATTGATTCCTTTTATGTGTAACTTATAATCAAGAATTCCAATTTAATTCACCACCCTTATGTTCGACACTTGATCTTATCACAACTATACTATTGCATGACTAGGTACATTGCCTAGTGTGTTTATTTGTCCGGTTGAGATAAAATCAATTTTATAAATTTAAAACTTGAGTGTGTGTGTGTGTGTATATATATATATATATATATATATATATATATATATATATATATATATCAAAAAACAAAATAAAAAAACAAAACAAAAAAATTTGAACGCCGCTATAATTAATGTATCCAATAATGTACATAAAAGACTACTATATTAGTTATTCAGTATTTAATTTAATTATAAATAATTGCAAAAATCTATATATTCATCTTCAAGATCAGTTTCATGCTAAATTCAAGATTTTTTTAAACTAAAATGATGATCTAATGAGTGTCAAAACTAGAAGAATATTTACTTGTAGATTGTCCCTATCATACTTATGTTTTGACAACTTGTATCTAGATAGCTTGGTCTTTTATGTAAATCTTTAAAAACGTTATATTACACCTCTTATGATAACTAGCTAGGGTTTTAGGTTCCCTTTCTTAAAGACCTTAAGTGAGATATGCTACTTATTGATGTTATATTTAATAGAGTGGGAAAACAATTTGGTTTTGGACAAGACAAAGTGAATAAAAGAATGCTCATAACATGTCAATAATTGACTTGTTTGGTTATATTCATAGATGGGTCCAATACATATATCATTAAGTTCCCCTTCAACCAACTCTAGACCAAACAACTCATTTGTTGCACTTAACTTAAATGATGAATGAAGTCTTAAAATGGTTTTATCTAATATTTTTCACATCTTAACTAAGAAAAATGTATAATTAACATTACTATAATGTTCATAGTTGGTATAAAACCCACTTCTGTTGTTCAAAAGGAATGTCAATTTCCGATATTCTAACTCATAATTTGAGTCCCGAATCTCACTGGTCGAATATATTGTGTTCCTATTGACTTACAAGATGAAGGCTATGCCACTTACTTAAGTTAGATTGGGTCCAAAAGGGTGGCGTCCTAGCCAATGGGCATTGTTATGCTAGTGGTTCTTTCATTGAAGAATGTGCCAATGAACGGATTTGAATCATAGAATTCATATAATTGATAGTTTTGAAGCACAAATTACCGGATTGAAATAAATTATAAAATGTAGAAATTTATGGATTGGGCCGTGGAATGTTTTGGCCAGTCCAAACTTCTTGTACCTACCAAAAGTTTTTCTATTTTTTTTATAACCATTTTTATAAGGGTAATATTTGAAAAAACAATATTTATATTTTCTGTTATTTTTATCTAAAAACTTATTATAAAATTTTATTTTTTTAAAACCAATTTGATAAATTATTATTATTTTTATTTAAGTTATGTACGTACTAGAATCGACCAAGAACATAGTTTTTAAGGGGTATTTTGGTAATTGATGTTTTGATTCAGTAAGACCCATCATCACATTTTTACTTTGTATGTATCAGATTTATTTCGAATTAGAATTTAGAAAACGATTGTGTGTAAATGCGAAAGAGTATAATCATATATCTAATTTTTGTTAAGATAGATAATTATATTTATTAATTTTAATTCGTATCAACGATCTGACATCTTGTCTCAGTAATTCCATAAATTTGATGTAAATAACACATATATTATTTGCTTTACTGTGAGATGGTAACCAAAAATGTCTATTAGTCGAACAAAAACAATGAGTCAGAAATGTGTGTCCCAACCAAGATCCAAGAAACAAAGTGTACATGTTTATTAGTTTCAACAAGTGTCTGTATTAACATCGATGTTTTCCACTAAACATGTGCGCACATGGGTATGTCCAGCCAATGGCTACTAAACTCTTAAAGGTGGTCAAAACAAAACTAGG